CCGCTTCCGCCCGGAAGCTGTGGCGCGCTACTCTGCGGGAAACGGAGGTGGTCCCTGTTTGCCCGCCTCCCGGGATGGCCCCCAAACTCTCAGACTCTGGACTCTGTGGAAGAGCTCCGCGCTGCCGGCAACCAGAGTTTCCGCAACGGCCAGTACGCCGAGGCCTCGGCGCTGTAGGAGCGCGCGGTGCGGCTGCTGCAGGCGCGAGGTAGGAACCCGCCCCGCGCTTCCCCTCCGGGCCTGCAGGCGTCATGCACCCGCTTCGGTGCCCTGGCCTCACCTGGTGTTCCAGGTCTTTTCCCCAGGCCAACCGCTGCACCAGGCCCTCCCACCACGCTCCCGCATCTTCCCCGCTTTGGCATCCTGTGAAAAACTTAACTTGGCTCTTTCTGCCTGCTTTTTAACTGTCCTCTTGCTTTGTACCCCAAGGTAGTTAGTTACTCAGGCCTCCCTCGGGTCCTTGAGGATATAGCGGATTCGCTCCTCCCCACGTTTTCAGTTGAGCACCTTTTGTTTTTTTCCTTTATACTGACTCAATGTGGCGAGATGGAGTCCTTTTCAGTGGTCAAACTTCCTGGGGGCACTTGTCTTATGTTTTTGAATAAGTAAAGGAGACCACTGTGATTAGAGCTATAAAAACAAGCTAATGTGATAGAGTTGGATTCCTTAGAAAGGAAATCATGGATTTCTCAAGCGATATTTGAGGTGATGACCATTGAGTAGCTCGGTGTCTTAATGCTTTGGGCATTGAGCATCCCAGGTGTAGGGAATCCTCAGAAAGGATCCAGAAAGAATAAACAGTATGATCTGCTAATGAGAATATTTAAGATATGAAGTAGGTAAAACCTTATCGTGTAGGCGGTTTAAGACCTCCAAAGAGTTAGAATCATATCCCCTAATTGGAAGCTCTTGAAACAGAGGAACGACATGTTACCAGTTCTCCTAGCCTTTGCCCAAAGTTCCAGAAGCTTTGACTTGAGGACAGCCTTGAATCTTGTCTTCTCTTAAGTCCTCATTCTCACTTCTTGATAGCGTTCGTTGAGTATTTTTCTGTGTGCTAGATATTGTCATTGTTATCTTCACTATGATCACATCGATCAGACACTTGCAGATGAGGAATTCAGAAGAATTAATTGCCTAACTAGGATTGCACGAACAGTGAAATGTCAGACCCAGGATCTGAATATAGATTTGTCTGATTTCTGAGTCCAGGGTTTTGTTTTGTTTTGTTTTTTTAAGTTTTCTTTTTATTATCTTAAGCGTGTGGGGGAGGGGAACGTGCATGGGGCATCATTCCCCTTAGAGTTGTGAACGGCCTTATGTGGGTGATGGGAACTGAACTCTGGTCCTCTGCAGGATCAGTACATGCTTTTAAAAACCTCTGAGCCATCTCTCCAGCCCTCTTGAGTCCAAGTTTTTAATTAGTTACACTTCTCCATAATCTTCAAAATTCCTCTTTTTTGTTTAAAGTTTTTAAGATTTTATTTATTATGTATACAACATCTGCTTCCATGTATATCTGCACACCAGAAGAGGGAACCAGATCTCATAACGGATGGTTGTGAGCCACCCTGGGAATTGAACTCAGGTTCTCTGGAGGAGCAGTCAGTGCTCTTAACCTCTGAGCCCTCTTTCCAGCCCATTGTTTAAAGTTTTTATAACTTCAAGTTATCCTGTTTTTCTTCCTGGAAACCTTGGGCTCCTCACATCATGTGGGTCACACATCATGAAGTTGCTGAGGACTCTGAAGCTGTTGCCTTCTTTCATTCACAGCCCCCTTCCCTGAATAAACATAATCACTGCTACCTCAGAAAAGCTATGCTTTTGTGGGGGTTCCTTCTGAGACCCCCTAGAATAGTTACCCTGGTTTTTACCAGATTTTTGTTGTGATCTTACTACTGATTTTCTATGTGATTTTGTGGGTAATTTTCTTGACTTCTCTGATCAGTTGGGGGGGGGGCTGTAACTGGAGAGATGTCTCAGCGATTAAGAGCACTAACTGCTCTTCCAGAGGACCCAGGTTCAATTCCCAGGACCCACATGGGAGGGTCAAAACTGTCTGAAACACCAGTTCTAGGAGAACTGACAGCCTCACACAGACATACATGCAGGCAAAACACCAGTGCACATAAAGTATTTTATATATTTATGGGGAATCCTTCACATGTAGGTAGGTGCACACAAGTGTGTGGAAAGATTGAGTGAATTTGTAGGACCATCAGCTAGATTTGAGGTCCTCAAAACCTTTCCATCGCACCCCCCTGCTTCTGTGAGCAGCTCTGCTTTGGGAACTTGAGATGAATTACTGGTTTTGTTTATTTATTTATTTACTTTTTTTTACAGATTGTTTTTTATTTGAATTAGAAACAAGATTGTTTTACATGACAATCCCAGTTCCCTCTCCCTCCCGTCCTCCCCTACCACCACCACCACCCCACTAAAACCCTACCTATCACATATCCTTTCCGCTTCCCCTGGATGGTGAGGCCTTCCATAGGGTGTCATCAGAGTCTATCGTATCCTTTGGGATAGGGCCTAGGCCCACCCCCTTGTGTCTTGACTCGGGGAGTATTCCTCTTATGTGGAATGGGCTCCCAAGTCCACACTTATGCTAGGGATAAGTACTGAACAACTACAGGAGGTCCTGTAGTTTCGAGGTTTCCTCACTGAAACCCATGTTCCTGGGGTCTGGATCAGTCCCATGCTGGTGTCCCAGCTATCAGTCTGGGGAGAAAGAGTTCCCCAGTGTTCAGGTCAGCTGTTTCTGTGGGTTTCACCAGCCTGGACTGGACCCCTTTGCTCTTTACTTGTCCTTCTCTGCATCTGGGTTCCAGTTCAGTTCAGTGATTAGCTGTGGGTGTCTGCTTCTACTTCCACCAGCTGCTGGATGAGGGCTTATCGTGTGGCATATAAGTTATGCCCTCATTATCAGGGGAGGGCATTTAAGGTAGCCTCTCCTGTTGCTTAGATTGTTGAATTACTGGTTTTTAAGTGCTTGTACTTGATCCTTATAGCAAGGATGTATTTACCGCACCTCTGTTTACTGGCCTAAGAGAAGAATGTTTATTGTTGTTAGCACTGAATGAAAGATATCAAATGAAAACATGGTATCATACTTCCTGAAGCAAGTTGCAAAAGAATAGGCCCTGTGATGCCCCTTGGGAAACACTTAATGACACTGTTAGTTTATATACTAAAATGGGCAGTGCTTGAGAATTCACACCTCTCTTGAGGGTTATGCTGCCCTCTAGGGAAAGGGAGCACAGGGACAAGGATGGGCATGGATGGAGGTCAGTCTAGTCTATGTAGCAGCTTCCAGACCGGTTACAGTACACAGTGAGACTTGCTCCAGAATGAGTGAGTGAGGTTGTGGAGGTGCCCACCTGTTAGCCACCTGTTAGCTCCAGCATTCAAGAGGCTGGAGCAGGAAGGCTGTTGGAAGGTCAGAGCTAGCTTTCTCCATATAGTAAGACTGAAATCCTCCTGCCCCTGCCTCAGGAGTGCTGAGATTGAAGGCATATGTCACCACACCAGCTATTTGTTTTAAGGAGAGAGAGAGAGAGAGAGAGAGAGAGAGAGAGAGAGAGAGAGAGAGAGAGAGAGAGAGAGAGAGATTGAGAGATTGAAGCCCCAATGCTTTGCAGGGGCTGAGGCAGGGGAATTGCTAGTTCAAGGCCAACTTAAATAGTGAGACCTGACTCAAAAAAGGGGGGTATGGTGGGAACAACTAATTTTGCTAGAATAGTATATGCTGAATATTATACAGTTTAATGTCTAAGTTGAATTTTTCAGTAAGATCTTTGAACTACATACCTAGGAGTTACTTGGTCAGCACCATTTTCTTATTTTCTGTGTTTTATGACCCATGCTAATGAGTAAAACGTAGTTGGGGTTTTTTAAAATGAAAACCAGGGTTTAAAGTAACAAGCTGGGAGGGTGGAAGTAGAGGTGAGTCTAGGGGGAAATGGGGAGTAATATGACCAAAATACATTTAATGAAATTCTCAGATTAATAAAAATATTTTTAAGATGAAAATTGGGGTCTATAAGGTGGTTCGGGAGGTAAAGGCACTTGCTGCCAAGCCTGGTGCTCTGAGTTCTGTTCCTTGGACACACATGGTGGAAGGAGAGAACTGACTCCGTCAAGTTGTCCTCTAACCTCCTCATGCATTCCTTGGGCACATGCTCACATATACATACACACACAGTAAATTTAAAAAATTAAAATGGGTAAGGTCACAGTGAGAGATTTGAGCGTCTGTGACTGGTGAGAGTAAGCATTGGCTTTAGAGAAATGACCAGTAATTGTCCCTTTGGGGTAGTTCACTTTGATTGAGTTGCCCATAGTCCTGACAGACCCACCTCTGTTACCACTTCTCTGGCAAAGTCTTTTCTGACTTAACTGTTCTCTGGCTTGCGTTTATCTGCAACTCTGGGTCACTCCCTCTTTCAGGCATTTATTATTGTTCTTTTCCTTGTTGTTGTTGGTTTTTTTTTTTCTATTGAGTCCCCCATGCTTTTGTAATAAAGTTAGCCCACATACTGAAGTAGCTAGAGATTGCTTTTTCTAAGGTAGTATCCAGCTGTTTCATGTTTATCTTTTTATCTGGTACCAACTTCTGTACTAAAATGAATACATGAGGATGGATGCTTAGTTTCTGTGAATGGCAGAGATCTTGCTGTGCTACCCTACCTGACAGAAGTCTGGTTAGGCTCCAGTACTCTCTACTGCCTTTCCTGAAACCTGGAGAGCACCAGGTATGAGGTGCATCCCTATGTCCTCTGACATCTGTCTCCCAACTCATGATGTTCTTGCTCTTCCTGCCTCCACCCGGGCAGGTTCTGCAGACCCTGAAGAAGAAAGCGTTCTGTACTCCAACCGTGCAGCATGCTACTTGAAGGATGGGAACTGCACAGACTGCATCAAAGATTGCACTTCGTAAGTGGCCCGGGGAGGCTCTGGAATGCCTGAGGGTTTTCAGAGATCAAGCCAGGTTTTTTCTTTGGAAGAATCCCACCATTTCTCTCTGACAGATCTTAGAAAGTGTCACTAAATATCATCAGGCCACTTAGAATGGCAGTCCCCTTGGGTCCTTGTTTTTGGAGTTTGGGCTCAGTGCTTCTGAGAATAGTGTAGGGTAGGAACTGAGAGGGAGGCTTTAAAGCCTCTGTGACACTTGCACATGAGATGGGGAGGCACGTCTTTAATCCCAGTGTTGGGTAGGCAGAGGCAGGCAGCTCTTTATGAGATCAAGGCTAGCCTGTCTATATGAGTTCCAGGCCATTCTGGGCTACATAGTGAGACCCTGTCTCGAAGCATGGGGGGGGGTTGCAATGCGAGGCAAGAGAAAGAAGGAAAAAAATGACAATCTCAGTAACCAGTTGTACAGGACATTGAACAATTTTTCCGGCTAGCCTTATTGATCATTGCTAAACTGGCACACATCTGCTAACTGTGTTCTTCCCTAGATGTGATGCTGTTTTACATGCATGTGGGAATAGGGAGAAGTGCACTCAAGGAGCCTATGCTAGCTTTTTCTCTTTCACAGGGCACTCACTCAGTGGGAAGTTTATCCCCCTTCTCAGAGCAGAATGCATTGCCAAAGACCAGGATAATAAAGTGATTTGCCTGGAGTCCCACGGCTAGTGGTAGTGTGGGTAGAGTGCAAACTCAGCTGCTGAGAGTGTTTGTTACTTCTGCTGGACCACGATGTGAAAACATGTCCACATGAAAACTGAGAGACTCCTGTTCTTCATTTGGGTGGGGGTGGAGGGCTTAAAAGTTGACACCCATGCACATACGTTTCGTTAGTGGCTCTCTGCCTTCTTTCCCTTTGCAATGCAGTCTAAGTTGAGAATTCCCTACCTATCCTAGAAATGGTGTCTTTCTGCCAGAAATTAACTCCGTTGTACTGACTGCTGCAGATGACCCTGCCTGAGTCACTACACTGTTGAGGAAGCCTGTTGACCTGGCAGATAGGTGACATTTTTGCTTCCTGTTCTAGAGCGCTGGCCTTGGTTCCCTTCAGCATCAAGCCCTTGCTGCGAAGAGCATCTGCATATGAAGCCCTGGAGAAGTACACCCTGGCCTATGTTGACTATAAAACTGTGCTGCAGATTGATAACAATGTGGCGTCAGCCCTGGAAGGCATCAACAGGTGAGCCCAGTGTACTTCAGAACTTCTCCATGGAACATGGAGCCAGTACCCTTGGTTGGCTAATGCTTTGGTTGTGTTCTGACTATGCTTGAAAAACTGTGTGTGTGTTCGTGTATACATGTAGAGGCCATCGGTTGATGTTGGTTGTCTTCCTTTATCACTTCCAACCTTATTTTTTGACAGTTTCTCATTGACAAGGCACATCGGTTTGGCTAAATTTAACTGGCAAGCACTCCCAAGATCCCCTGTCTGCCTCTCTGGGATTTTATGGGTGTATACTGTCATGTTCAGCTTTTTTATTCAACTGCTCCCTCAATACTCAGAATATGTTTGACCAAGTTTATGAGGAGTATCTGCTGCTGTATTTAGTAGATTGTGTAATATGTAACTAGAGTTGAAGAGATTGCTTAGCAGTTATGAGTGCTTGCTGCTTTTGCAGGGGACCTGAGTTTGATTCCTAACACCTACATTGGACAGCTCACAACCATCTGTAATTCTAACTCCAAAATGATCTGATGCATCTATGGGCACTTGCACTCCAGTGGACAGACTCCTACACATATACTTAATTAAAAATAGTAAAATGGATTTGTTTTAAAGTCAAGAGTTACTGAGATCAATGATGTTTGTCTACATGTACACATTCATTCTCACACTAATATTTATTGAGCTCTCTTTAAAGTATAGGAGGCTCAGTGGAGGATAGCAAAATTGAGAGGAGATTCAGACCTCACTTGTGTTCGTAGTGCTAACTCTAATTGAAGAGTAAAAAACACAAGGAACTAGAATGCTGCTGGGTGGGGTATTGTAAGTGTGAAAACATCTTTCTGGTCTCCTGAGCCATGGCTAGTTTGATTTTTCATGGATACCCTTGTTTGTATATTTGATCACAATTCCCTTTCTTGTGGGCTGCTAGAAAGCCAAGCACCAAACTAATAGTGTAATTATCGTCTGTGTTTGGTTTCTTGGTTGCCTTTGTCAACACCCAGTTTTCTCTTTGAGCCTTTTTGTCATTCACCAAACACTACCAGTTTTGTGCCAGACTTTGCACAGGGACCTGCTGAATGAGGCCTGACTCTCTGTCTTTACACAGCTCTTGGCTTCAGAGGGAGTACTAGTTGGCATGCACAGACTCAGTGTAGTCAGTGCAGCGTAAAGTATGTGGCCAGCACAGGTTGCTCCAGGACAGAAGAGGGGTTCTCGCCCAGCTGGGAAGAAGGAGGCCAATGAAGTCACTAGTGAAGCTGAGGGAAGCACTTCAGTGAGATCGGAAGCAGATGGCAGTTCACACAGTGGTTATGTCCCTCTAAAGGGAGACAGGAGTGTAGCTGCAGTGGTAAGGGGTATCCAGAAGAGTTTTATAAGTTGAGCAAAATGGGGGGTGGGAGGGACAAAACAAGTCTCTTACACACAGTCATCTCTCCAGCCTCAGCAATTAAGATTAACCATCACAAGCATCCAGGCAGGCAGGTTTTTATTTGGGGTATAAGGAAGAATGCTTTGGAGGGAAATGCTAGGAAATAGGGTTGCAGAGAATTGGAATAGATGGGCCAAGCAGGAAAAAACCTAGTGAGAGGCTATGAAATTTGTTGTAATTTCAATCTGTGTGGTTTTATTCTTGTAACAGGAACATGACTATCGGAGCTTTATTCTCGCATGTAGTGTGTACTTACCGTGTCTTGGTGGGATCCAGGTGATATGCTAGGTGCCTGAAATCCATTTCCATTAACAACATGTACATCATGGGCAAAAAGCACCATTTTAAGTTGAAAATTAAATAAGCAGGAGTTAGTTAGGTCTCCAGAGTAGGAATGGAAAATGAAGGAATAGTGGGCCATGAGGAAAGGTGTACATAAGGATCAGGAGAGAAGGAGCTCTTTTGCTCATTTGTTTTTGCAGTGCTAAGGATTAAACCTTGTGCGTTGTATGTGCTAGGTAAACACTCTACCGCTGAGCCACACAGCCAGCCCAAGGACACACAATTAAAATGGAGAGGAGGAAGAACCAGGGCTCACGGGGCATATTAGCCTACAAATGGGAAGCTCTGAGGTTTTGATGTTGTTGAATGGGCCAAGTTTGACACTTGAAAGAAATTATTTGAACAGTAAGCAGATGATAAGTGCTTACATGCATTGAACTAGTGACATTGAGAAAATAGCATTTTTTTTTTTTTTAATGGGATCCTTTCTTAGGGGTGAGTCGCAAAATTTATCTTTAACAAGTAGCAGTGGAACTTAAAATTCATGTATAGCAGTCAGGCTAAGGGAAAGTGCCATAGTGTCAGATCTGAGAATTTGATGGGTCGTCGACTCCCATTCATCTGTTTGAAGGAGCATGAGGGAAACAGGAATGGGGAGGAGGGAATGTTCCCTGCCTTGTGAAGGATTCTCCACCCCTTGGGTTTGAAAGGGGAACCACTTGACTTGGCCAGATGTCCTGCAACTCACCTTTTCCTTCCAGAATCACTAGGGCTCTCATGGACTCACTTGGGCCTGAGTGGCGCCTGAAGCTGCCCCCTATTCCTGTGGTGCCTGTTTCAGCCCAGAAGAGATGGAATTCCTTGCCTTCGGAGAATCACAAAGAGACAGCTAAAAACAAATCCAAAGAAACTACAAAGAGCAGAGGTGAGCTCTAAGTGTCAGTCTAGGGAGTTTAGAGGAACTTCTGAAAATTGGCCTCACTTAGCTGTTAGAAAATAAATGAAGTGGAAAACACCATAAAAAGGTCTCTAATAACTTCTTAGAGACTGTCTCCTTAACTATACAGTGATGTCATCAGTGACCGACTTAAACGATACAAGATGTGTAAACCTGGCCTGGCACATAGGTGCAAGTGCTAGCTCTTATTCTCTAGCAGTATTTGGAGTATGTTTCTGAGAATGTTTTTGATTGCAAGAACAGAAACTTCCAACATTACAAAATAATAAAGGAAATGTATTGGCTCATAATTATATGCCAAAAACCCCATCCCACTCTTATCTGCCCCTCAATCACTAGTTAAAATTTTGACACTTGCTTTTATATACTTAGCTTCTATTTTCCCAGTCTCCTGCTATAATTGGTCACAGGCTGCTGTGATGAGAAGATGAGGTTCTATAACTGTCTCAGCCCCCTCTCCTTGGGATCATTCTCATAACTAGAAGTGATGCCTCCCTGAGGACACATGTCCTGGGTGACCCTGGAGAAGTAGGAATAAGAGCAAACGGACAGCTGGGCAGCTGTAGCAGGAGATTGTCTTCTGGGAAGCTCTCACTAGTGTTCCAGGAGCACTGTCCTGGGCTAACAAGTGTGAGTCAGATAGGGAAGTACACAAGGAACCAGGAGTAGAGCTCTTTTTTAATAGGTAAGTCTTAGATAGTGGAAGAGGCTACTCCTCACTCCTCTTTGCAGGAAGCTCCCTCCCTATACAGCATGTGGGAGTCTGGTTGTTTTCCACTCTTAGAAAAGAATTTCAGAGTGCTTATGAACTAGATGGCCTCCTGGAGTCACTGAGCCATGCCATGTGTTACCCACCCTGTGCTAAGCATTAGAACACAGAGGACAAAACTTGAGCCTTAGGGAACTCCTGGTCTAGTGAGGAACTGAGTTATGGTGATGGTGCTTTAATGTATATGGAGGAAAAGCTGGTGCCATGGAATTGTTAGTGTTTGGGAAGTTTAAATTGAGGAGTCAAGCGAGCACACTGGGGTGGGTGATAAAAGTGACATCTTAAGCTTAGACCTTAAAGGATGAGGTCATTGGGGAGGAAAATTGGAGACAGAGGCAGTGGAAGGAGCTGGAGAAGGGAAATGCATGAATAAAAATGACTGGGGTTGGAGAGGCATATTGCAGAGCCCAGATGAAACTGAGTCTGCGTGCATCCATGCTACTGGGCTGCTCTAGAACTCACACTCCTGTGCATGGGAGTGTTCACTACAGATGTTTTGTAGTAGCAAAACAAAACTCATCCTTCCCGGAATTTTAGAAGTGAAAATGTTATCAACTGCAGGTCCATATATCAACAGACAAATCTCAGAGATAGAATGTTGAGAGGAAAGCAACCAAGCCATAAAGACTATAGAAATACTTGCTTCTTCATATGAAGCTCTGTGACAAGTGGCTTTAGGCCCTAGTAAGAATTCCTAAGCTGGGATGAGTTGGCGCTGATTTTATTCCCGCAATTTTGCCCTGGTTGTAAATATTGAGTATTTTGCCATGATAGTTTTTAAAGATTAAAATGTGGTGCTGAGGAATGAGACTGGGACAGTTAATTGGAGCCATATGCAGTGAGGTCCCTAAAAATGCTGTAGTGTAAGCAGCTTGGCTTCACCTTATTCTGTACTCTTCCCCCTGGAGCAGAGCTTCCGGTGACTGGTGAAAGTGGATACTCACAGGCTCACAGCAAAACAGAACTAGCCTTCTTCAGCCCCTGTCTGAAACCCAGAAGCTGCAGCCTTTCTTTACTTGATGCCTCTCGTTAAGTTTGTGGGCTATTCTCTGCTTTCTCGTGTATTAGTCTCAGATCTGATCCTGACATAGCCCTTCACACTGGGGAGGAAACTGAGGTACTCAAGTAGGTCATGCAGAACATTCAGCTACCCAGTGGCAGTGTTATAAGTAAACTTGGCTTGCTTTTTATCATATATATAATATGCATGTGTAAGTGTATTTGTAAGTCTCCATCCTCTTCTAATGAAAGCCTTGAATTGACTAGAAGCCATTAATTAGAGGGCTCTGTAGTCAGAAAGAATCTTTGGCGGCCTCAAGGCAGTCCCTAACTTGGGAGGGAGGATGCTGAAGAGATCTCACTGATCTCATTGGAGCACCTGACCCATGGTTTTTTCCTCTTCTGAATTTGCGTCTAGTGCCTTCTGCTGGGGATGTGGAGAGAGCCCGAGTTCTGAAGGAAGAAGGCAATGAGCTTGTAAAGAAGGGCAACCATAAGAAAGCTATTGAGAAGTACAGTGAGAGCCTCTTGTTTAGTAGCCTGGAATCTGCCACGTACAGCAACAGGTACCTTCTGCACAGCTGCTGATTCTGAAGGCTGGGGTGTAGCTCAGTGTGGGGTGCTTGCCTACCACAGACTCCTGATTATGGAGGGGTTCGGGTCCTTTTCAGGTAGTCGTGTGCATTCCACCTACCTCAGAACTGAACCAGGTGTTGGTAGTCCTCATCCCAGAGTTTTAAGCTTTTAAGTGTCAGCACAGCCTGCTCTCCACCCATGGCTGCCTTAACCCACCTGTTTCTGACAGTTCTGGCCTAGAGCCCAGCTAGTAGAGTGACTACTGTGGCCTAGATTCTGGCTGAGTGCAGACCTGTGGGCCTGTAGCAGGCTCTGCAGTGGGAGCTGCTGTTGGGAAGCACTGATGGTGAAGGCCCAGGAGCCAGGGCGTGTCCTCCCCTCCCCCATTCATGTAGGATCACTGCTCTATACCATGCTTCAGTGTAGGTGACAGACACAGGGCCCATAAAATGGCTCCACTTTATCTTGACCTTAAGGTCAGAAAGTTCAAACCCACTATTGCTCTTTCAAGACAGGATGTCTGGCCTAAGGTGTAGCTAATGGATGTCTTTTCTTGATAACAGAATATTTGGTGCAGGGTGTGGTTACTTGATGTTTTGGGTATTCAAAAGATAATTAGCTTGCTTATTCTTTGTATCTTGGTAAGGAAGTCTTTTTGCCTCCCCTCTTTTGATTGGGGTATAAAAGCTTTGAATAATAAATTTGGGGTAGTTCCTGGTGTTCACCAGATAAACTCCTGACTCTGTCTTGTCTTTAGTATGTGTAATTTTTCTACCTGCCATTTCCTATTCCACACGCTTCACTCCAAGCACAGACAAATAAGCCGGGTGGGACCTGACTGTTGTAGCTTCTCATATGTAGGGTACAGCACAGGGCACACACATACAAGCACACACACCCCCATTGTGTGGGATGGTGCTCTGTGCTGGTGTAGGTGACAGAGAGGGGTATTACTGGTTTGTGAAGTTGAGAATCAAGGTGCTGTCTAGGCTCTGATAGCCTTTACGTGGTGGTGGCAGAGCTGGAATCTGGCGCCAGTGAAATCCGTGTTTGTTTTTTTTTTCCGAGACAGGGTTTCTCTGTGGCTTTGGAGGCTGTCCTGGAACTCCTCTTGTAGACCAGGCTGGTCTCGAACTCACAGAGATCCACCTGCCTCTGCCTCCCGAGTACTGGGATTAAAGGCGTGCGCCACCACCGCCCAATCCGTTTATTTTATTGTCAGAAGCTTGATAAACCAGCAAGAGGCTGTGTCTCATCACACAATTGTTATCAATACCACATGCACTCAGTAGTCTAGTTACAGCATCTTTAATCTGGGAACTGAAGAGATGGCTGTGAGGTAAAGAGCATGGTTCCCAGCCCCATACCAAACAGTTCAATGACCTATAACTTCCATGCCTGGGATCCACCTGTATACACATGGTGCATATTAAACACGTGCCAGCACAAAAACAATAAATCTTTTCAAAAATTCTTTGATCTGCGGGCTGGAGAGAAGGCTCAGAGGTTAAGAGCACTGACTGCTCTTCCAGAGGTCCTGAGTTCAGTTCCCAGCAACCACGTGGTGGCTCACAACCATCCACAATTCAGTTCAATCTGGTGCCCTCTTCTGGCATGTAGGTAGAACAGTGTATATGTAATAAAAAAAAAAAAAAAAAAAAGCTTTTAAAAAGATCTTTGATCTGATAGAACTTCCTTGTTGCTTAGTAAAAACTTTTAGGATAAATCAAGTTTCCAGGTAATGAGCTAACTCCCAGGTGTAAGGTGCTTGCCACACAACCTGAGTTCTGATCCCCAGAGCCCACATTTAATAAAGTTGGAAAGAGAAACCTGACTCCACAGATGGTTATATACTGGCCTTCACATGTATGACACAGCAGATGTACCCACGTGCACATATCATGTACACACGGAGACAGTGTTTTTCAGTTGAAGAAAATTGAAAAATAAGATGTGTTTGAGAGAGTGGCGCGTTGCTTAGGCGCGCTCGCTGAAGTGCTTGTGCTGGGGCCAGGGCATCTCCTGTGGGAGCCGTGCTCACAGGCGATAGATAGCGGAAGGAGTTAAGTCGATTTAGCTCTCTCAGGTTTGGTTTTGCTTCTTAAGAGTTGAAAAGAGAACTTTTAGTTTAGGTTTTGGATGGAACTTGGGCCTGCACTTTCTGAGCTTGATGGGACCAGGGTGTTCCTTTGTTAGGCTAACTTGTAAAGGAAGCCTGCGGCCCATTTGCCACATGCCTTTCTGTAAGTTCCTCAGCCTTGATGCTGCTACACACCCATTAGCTCCTTCTAAAAACTACTTTTACCATAACTGAAGAATTTGTTTAAATGCTGTTGTTTAAGCAGCTGTATCTGGGCTGTAGTCTTACTCTCCTTACTCCCCTTCGTTTATAATACGCTCATTTAATATGTGGCCTCCCCTTGGGTGAGGGAGCAGTGCTAAGCAGCATGCTAGGCCAGCACTCTGTCCCTGACCTGGACTCCAGCCTGAGTTAGAGCTTTGTTTTGTGTTTACTTTGAAGCCATGGTGATGATTCCAGGGTTTGTCAGGAAAAAGTAAAAACAACAAGAGCATTTAGTTAAGTGTGGGGAGAAGAGGTATAAGTAACGTTGGATTGGCCAGGGGGGTCAAATACAAATTCTTCCTCTGTATTTCCAAGTAAAGTTTTAGAAAAGCACAGTCTCAAATGTAAAAATAAAACTATTGTGGAAGAGCCTGTGAGCTGATTACCTTGCAGTATGGAAGGAAAACCCTACAGGAATTATTTAGGAAATAGGATAATTCTATGTTTTATAATATTAAAACACCTTATATGAAGATGTTCTCCTTTTCATGTTTATAGCAGCTAACACAAGGCCCTTGGTGTGATACCAAGTAGGGCCAGAAAAAAAAAAGTAAAATGTATTAGCTACCATTTTCTTCCATCTCCACAGAAATTAAAATCTGAGGCCCAGGTTTGTTACAATTATAGAAAAAGAAACTCTTAGTAACTTCTTCAGAGTGCCTGACAATAACAGTCAGGGTTAGAGCTGTTGGTATCTCTTGATCCAGCAGCCTCTTCCCCCGAGGGAGTTCACTGCAGCGGGATGTACTTACCATGCTGCAAACAGTGGGAACACTTGCAGTGAGGGGACCTTAAGACAGGCAGTGCCATAGCTAGCTAGTGAGTGCTCTGTCGCCACTAAAAACAGTGAGGGAAATAAGTGGGCTGCTTCCTTCTAGTGACTGTCTTTAAAGAACGGGACTAAACTTGAATGGTGAAAAAACACAGTGGGCATTTTCCGTGTTTTATTATGGGACATTTCAAAGTATGGAAAGTGGGGAAATGTGTTTTTATCACCCATCTACTCATCATCTAAGTTCTCAGGTGCATACATAGTACTGGATACCCTAACTAGTGCTGAGCACTGTACTCTATCCTCTTACTGTTGATTTTTCCAAAGTAATTGCTCACATCTTTATAACTCCCCCTGAAACATCAGCATGCCTAATATTAATTAGGATTCAATATTCATGCATTTGGTTTTTCTTAAAATGGGTAAGTTTTTCATCTGTTGAAAGGTTTTGGCAACTTTGCTTTGCTTAAAAAACCTGATGCAAGGTGGTGAGTGACAGAACTAAGCAGGGCCAGGCTCTGGGTTCCTATAGACCCACTGGTTTGAACTCCAGCTTGGCCCCTCACTAATAGTAGGCTTTGGGCAAGTCCCTGGACTCCTGAGCCAGTTATGAAGCTTCCTATAGGCTTTGCATCTGCACAAAAGGCTGGAGCGCTAGAGAGATGGCTCATCAGTTAAGAGCACTGGCTGCTCTTCCAGGGACCCGGTTTCAGTTCTCAGCACCTATAACTCTAGCTCCAGGGGATCCGACACCTTCTGGCTTCCAAGGGCACAGCACACATGTGGCTGTCACGTGCACACATGAACCTGAATCTTTTGGGAGGTGAGGTTAGACTTGAGAGGATTGAGGTGGAGAGCAACAGCACAGAAGGGGTGCTGATGAGCAAATGAGGTCCTCCCCAAAGACCTCATGATGCTTGTGGGGATCCTTAAGTGATTGAACTTCTGTAATGGTCTTTCCGCATCAGAGCGCTCTGCCATTTGGTCCTGAAACAGTATAAGGAGGCAATAAAGGACTGCACAGAAGCCCTCAAGCTGGATGGAAAGAATGTGAAGGCGTTTTACAGACGGGCTCAAGCCTACAAGGCACTCAAGGTAAGGGATCGCCACCCAGAGGCCCAACCACAGCCACAGATTTGTGCCAGTGCTGGCTCTTGGTGTTGAGGTAAAGCAGCGCTTGCTGTGCTCCTCAAGCCATGCTGTAGCTCTGCTCTGGGGTTTAAAAACATTCTCCTACCTCAGCAGCTTTTCCCACTCCCGCTGGTTCTCACCTCTCCTAGGTTCCTTCCTCAACCCCTCTTTTCTCTTCCATAGGACTATAAATCCAGCCTTACAGATATTAGCAGCCTCCTACAAATTGAACCCAGGAACGGCCCTGCACAGAAGTTACGGCAGGAAGTCAACCAGAACATGAACTAAAACCCCCAGAGGGCAACAGGACCCCTCTACCTGACCTTCCCAGAGAAGCTACGGGCCTCCCCTGCATCCACCCCCATACCCAGCATGCCCCTAAGGGAGTACAAAAACAACCCCACTTTGGCCCCTTGGAGAGGTAGCAGCCTTCCACCTGAGAAGCTTCGCTTGTTCAAATTAAGTCCATTACAGACAAGCACAGGACAGTTTTTTTTGTTTTGTTTTGTTTTGTTTTGTTTTTTCAGAAAGGTTCACACTGGAGCTCAAGTGTGAAGCTACAGCCCTGGCCTCATCCCCTTGCTTCAGCCTGGTCCTTGTCAACAAAGTACTTGGCAATTGTCATGACCCAGATGTGCCGCAGATTGATTGTTGCCTTTGTGACGTCCCCAGACACCACACCTCTGCAGTTAATATGAACTGGGAGGGTAGTGTTGACAGGCTAAAGTGCTGGCTTACCTAGACCCAAAGCGGCCTGTTGAGCTGGTTCTCCAAGGCTGCCATCTCCCCAAGGGTACAGCTGCTATCTGCACCCTGTCCTTGGCACAGCGTCCTGTGTTGAGCCCCAGTGCCTTTAGTCCAGGCCCTTTGTGGGAAGGCAAAGCCTGACCCTTGGAGGCTCTGTGCTGTTGCCTTCTGTATGGAGCTACCTATGCTGTTCAAAGAGCCCGAATTCCTCCTGGGATGGGGAGAAGAGAGGCCTCCTTGAGATTAGTGTCCCTCCAGTCTGAGCAGGAACTGACCTTTCCCCCCAACAGCAGCCCCTCAGGCTTTGTTGTTTGTCGTTTGTTGTTGTTAATATGTTGAAGTTAATTGAACTGATTTTATTGAACTGTGTGTTGCTGTTGCATTAAAAGGTTTTCTTCTGTACAACTGGCTTTTGCATGTTTGTTTTCTCAGTCTTGCACTTGAAACTCAGTAGTGGTAACAGTTGTTGTGCTATACCCACTCTAGCACAGAACAGAAAACAAGAGCAAGCTTGTTCTTAAACATACCTTTCCTATTACTGAATGTCAACCTTGTAAAGATAAACAATGATGTATGGGGGAAAAAGAAACAGCTACTGGTTTTGGACATTCATCAGTTTATTGGATAAATTTCTGAACAGCCCAGGCATTGTGTATAGTACCAAGGGAAACAGCATAACTAGATATGGTCGCTGCTGTGGGTGGCCCTGTGAGAAGACGGAGTTAGTGAGATAACTGCCTTAAGTATAAAGCTGCACCTGCCTTAGGCATCCTGAAGGAGCTGTCCCAAAGTCAGCTTTCTTGCTGGATGGAAAGGTTTGCACAATGGAAAAGTAAAGGTCTGCTGTTAGAGTATGAACTGAGTACAGAAGAAAATGCTAAGAGCTGAGGATGTAACCCAGTGGTAGAACATTTGCCTAGCATGTGTGAGGCCCTGGGTTCAAGTCCCTGCACCACAAAAAGTGAAGGAAAATGCTGCTCACTGTGGAAATCAGTTTAGAGGTTCCTCAAAAAGTACCCACATGGAACCTGTCTTTAAAAAAAAAAAAACCACCTAGCAATTACCACTCCTTTGAGACATGGTACATCCATGCTTATTGTGGTAGCATTCACAAAAAACAAGATCTAACAAATCAGCACAACCAACCAATAGATGAATGGACAAAATATACACATACACAGTGGGTGTCTTACTATGTAGCATGAATAAATGTGTGTGCCACCATACACATCAGAACAACTTTGTGGCGTTGTTTCTCTCCTTCCATCTTTACATAAGGTCCAGGTATCAAACTCAGGCCACCAGGTTTCCATGGTGAGCGGCATCATCTGTTGGGTCAGCTCTCTGGCCCATATGGTAGTTTTATTCAGGCATAAAGAATGAAATTTATTGCCGGAAAATGGATGGAGCTGGAGGTCATGTTAAGCAATAAACCAGATTCGTGTTTTCTTATATGTGGAGTCTAGATTTTATCTATAAATCTGTTGAAGTGAACATTTGAGAAGAGGAAGGACCTGCGACAGGAGAGCATGAGGGTGGTAAAGCAGCAAATAATTGTGATGATGAAATCTTTTGTAAGATAAATACATGCTGACAATAATGGGAAAATATCCTAAAGGTAGTATTAATAGGTGGGAGGCTGGACAAGCAGAACATGACATGAGTACTCCCTAGTGGGAGCATTCACTAAGGGAGGACTAATAAAGTACCATTCACATTCACGAAGTTCTCAACATGGGACAAGGCTGCAAGTTACAGTGTTTTCACCTTAGTGACACAGAAAGAGGTAGTCTTGAATGAAAGTGACCTGTCAGATTTTCGTTCCGGTTGCTTGGAGGAAAGCACCACCAATGCAGTGAAGCCACCCAGGGCTGCTGCCAGCTAGACACCATGAAGGAATTGCAGAGGAGAGACAATTGAAGAGTAGGGGTGAGCTTATAGATTGCATTTGGAAGATGAGAGAAGGGAAAGGAGATGACAGAGTGGGGAGAGCTTGTTTCAGAATGAGGGTGGGAGGCTTTCCTGAGAACACTTGATGACAAAACCAGAGGGACAGGAAACTCTAAGCCATAAACTTGGCTCAGTTGTGAATTGGACTTGTTACTGACAGTCTAAGAACTGAGGGCAAATACGGTATAAGATCTGTAGTCCAGAAGCTTCCACAAGTGGGTATGGCTAAAGTACAAAGGACACTGGAGTCCTCGAGTATGATTGAGAATGGGGTTGTACACAGGGCAGGCTCTGTACCTTGTGTGGGCAGCACAGCAGAACCAACCCCATTAGCTGGAGCCAGCCCTGATATTGTGAGCATGGAAGAGCTGTCCTTATTACTACTCACCTATTGTATGGTAGCATGGGTGGGAGAGAGATGACCCCTGCCCCCATCAGCACCAGAAGCAGGTGGCAGAGCTGGCCCTGAGGTCATAAGAGTGGGAGAGCTAGTCGGTCTTTGGGAGAGTGACCCCTGTGCTGGACAACACAGTAGAGCTGGCCCTGAAGATGTAAGTATGGGAGATCCAATCCCAAGGACATGAGGGCAGGAGAGCTGGCCCTGCACCCTAATCATCTCTGCAAGGGGTGAACTCGCCAAGGCAATGCAGGAGAGCTCACTCTGAGGTGAGGGCAGGAAAATGGGCAGGCTGCTGAACCCTGCAACCACCCAAGCCCAGAACCAAGGTTGTGAGTTGGCCCACCTCAACATCCACTCCATCTGGGATCTGCTGGAACACGTGAAGGGACTGGTCTTGCAGACTGAAATCTACAGGATTTCCATAACACAGGGCAACAGCAGGATAACCAAAAGGAGTTCCAGTGAGGGGCCAGCATAATGTAGCAGAAACCAGAGGCCTCAAACTAGACCAATGACTCTTTGCAATGAACACTTGCAAGTAAAGACATATGGACCTCCCCCCCCCAAAAAAAATGGGGATGTAAATTAGATGTGAGGAGGAAAAAGAACATGAGAAAGAAAGAAAAAAAAAGGAATGAGAGTCAGGCCTGAAGAAATGCCAGCATTGAGCATCTGAAGAGAAGAGGGAGAAGCTACTTGGGGACGAGTGGTGAAAAGTGTGAGGAGTTAAAATAGCATGCAGAGAGGCGGGGCGGTGAGGAGAAATAGCAGGACCCTGTTGGATTCGTTCTAGTGAACCTGTGAGAGTCCAGTGTGCAGGTGTATCTTCACCACTGCTCTTTGGGCACATGGTTATGGAGAAGGCAAGAGCCGAGGTCTGAACCCCTTAAGAAAGTGAACATGAACTTCCCTGAAGAACCTTGGGAGCTCCCTAACTAGGGATGGAAAATTCTTATCAAGAAAGGTAATTTAGCTGGGCTTGGTGGCGCACAATATTAATCCCAGCACTTGGGAGGCAGAGGCAGGTGGATCTCTGTGAGTTCGAGACCAGCCTGGTCTACAAGAGCTAGTTCCAGGACAGCCTCCACAACTACAGAGAAACCCTGTCCCGAAACACCAAAAAACAAACAAAAAAAAAAAAAAAAAAAAAAAAAAAAGAAAGAAAGGTAATCTAGTATATTTCTATAGAATTCCTAATTGCATTATACAACATTTGGTCAACTGGGACCTACATGCAGTCACTGGCTTCTGTGGTATTTATCTGGCCTGCAGAAAAGCCACATACTTCAGATATGGCTGCCCAGAGCTTTAGTCCATTTGCTCAGTCCGTTGCCTGATGGTACTCATTTAACCATCTATTGTTGATGACCAGTTTGTAGTTTGGAGCTGTTACATACCTAAGCTCAGCTCCCCGAGGTTCTCCTGTTCTAATGTGCACACTTTCTGTGTATTTCAGCACTTGTTTGGGATTCAGGTTCTATTCCTTAAAGTCAAAGTTCCAATCCAGTAAAATCTTTTTCTCCCGGGCAGTGATGGTGCACACCTTTAATCCCAGCACTCAGGAGGCAGAGGCAGGCGGATCTCTGTGAGTTTGAGACCAGCCTGATCTACATGAGCTACTTCCAGGAAGCCTTCAAAGCCACAGAGAAACAGAAAAAATCTTTTTCTCTGCCGCCACCCTCCCTCAGGCACAAGAAAGCCTCCTGGGAGACAAGACAGATTTTGCAACATTTTTTAATATACAAAGGAAAAAGATTAGCAGTGGACTGTGCGCCCAGCCTTCATTACACCTCTAGAGCTCAAGAACAGAGAGGCCGATTAGGAAATAAGTTAGAGTTCACAGGACTTAGAACCAAGAGCAGAAATGCTGTACTTGGCAGTCAAAAGAGTGAGGGTTCCATTTTCAGTGGGGGAAGGAAAAAAAGTGTTCCCAAAGTATGTAAGACATAAGTAGGTGGACTACCTCACAGTAGACCAGGCCTTCAGACGGGCAGCACAAAGCCAGGCCGGAAACCCCGAGGCCCAGCAGGGCAGCTGGCATGAGAACACTTGTCGCTGTGTGTATCTCCTAAGACTCGGGTCAACTTCACCGAATTCCTTGGCGCTTCAGACAAAGTCACCAACACATCACAGTGAGTTTTTGGGTGTCAGTCTCTACAGGGTCTCCTGAGAAGAGCTCAGCTGCTCGGTCGTGGGTTCTCCCGCCTCCAGCCACCCGCTGTGTTCAGTTCCTGTTGCCTTTGGCTGACTCCATTTCCTGATGCGCCCGCAACACTGCCACAGCCTCTTCTATCTATGGGACCAAGAGAGAAGAGGGGCTTAATTCTGCCGCCCGGTAGGGCCCCGGAAGAGCCATGATTTCACTTGCCTCAGCATGATAAAGGATTCGTGGAGCCCTCATGCTCTGCTGCTCACAAGATCCCAGCCCTACTGCTACCTTGGCAAATAGAGGTACCACTGCTGGACACCACTCTGTCCAGTCAGAACACAGCTACGAGTACCAAAGCTTCACTAGGGAGCTACCCAGAGCTTGTCTGTGGAGGGACTGAAGTTGTGAACCCTCAATCCAGCAGACTGACGTCGGCCGCCATAACCAAGCTGGGACATGAAAGGTTCAGGCATTATGCTGGCCTGCCCCTGTTACCTGGTGGAACAGGCAGTACCCTGGTCAGCCCAAGGTTCCATGGGAACTAAGTCTGCACGCAGATACAGAGGACCCCTTTAAAAGATAGGCCCCTGCCCATTTACGCTCTCTGTTCTCTCTGTTCCCTCTCTCTGTTTCCTCTGTCTCCCACCTATGCTCTCTGTCTCTCTATGGCGACCGGCCATGGCGGTCAGCCATTACCCTGTTCCTCTTCTTAGTCTCCCCATTCTGCCGGGCCTTATAGTAAACTTTTAGTCTTATGTCTCATGTCTCAGCATTTCTCTTTTCTTCTTTTTAAACAAAAGAATAACAGGACTTGCTCCTTGCTGTGCTGCTTCCCAGCCTCCACCTGCCTTGGCATGGAGGGACTCTGGGGACTCCAGCAATAACAGAAGCTCCAGGTTGTCCATC